TATATATACAATAAAAATATGAAAATTTATGATAGATTTTGATAGATGAACACTATAAAATTAATGATTGACCTCGTACAATTGACTCCACGCGTAAAGTCTCGTCACAGTTGGTTATTATTCGGTCGGTTTTATGGTTTAATTGCTAGTTAATTAAGCGCGCACTAATTGAGTAATGACTTTCAACTTCAAGTATCAACGATTGAAATTTTCGCTTAGAGACTTCTTTTAAAATGGATCACGTAAATAAATGGAAATTAAATAAATTTGAATAAAAGTAAAGTAATTATTCTTTAATAGAAGATAAAAATGAAAAAAAATTGTTTTCCATAAATGTATTGTTTCGACAAGAATACACAAAATAGAAGAATACACTTACATTTTTTTTTGTGAATAATGTTTTGTCTTCAACTAGATAGACGCATAAAATGTTTAATTTTAGTGTTTTTAATAAATAATTATAAAATGTTTTTTTTTAAATTAAATTAAATTTTTCTTCGTTTCTTAACAAGGAAAGATAAGGAAGAGAAAGAAAGAAAGAGAAAGAGAGATATTTCACGTACACTGTCCATATAACAACTAATTCCTAAGAATTCCATGATGAAAAAAAGTTTCTATACGGATGTATCAATAATGCATCAACCCACGAACGCGATATTTTTTTTTTCTCAATTGTCTTCATTTTATCGAGCATGCAAAAACTTCGAAGTCAATGCCTTCTAGATCAATTTTCTTTTACCGAACACTGAAGGACACTGTAATACATTAATCATATGAAATAGTCACTGCACTTATCGTAATACGCAATATTTATTATGCATCGATTATAGACTCTATGTTTAGTACGTGAATACGTCATGTCACGAATATGCGCGATGATACTCGACTAGTGGGGATGAAAATATTTTTTTTGACGAAGGAAAATAGTACGTGACTGATCTTAGATATGGATGCTATTAGACATTCGGGATATGCAGGTTCGTTATAATTTTTAACTTCCATTAAAAAACGTTTATTTAATGCTTTTAGGAATATTTTGTTTGCTTAAAAAACATTATTTTATTACATATTAATATATATATTTATACAAATTTATCATTTCATGAAATATTTAGATATATGTTATAAACTTTTAAATAATTTTTAAATAATTATTTTTGAATAATCTATATCTATCTATTGAAAAATTGTGTCATTATTGTATATAATTTAAGTTATAAGAAAAATGTAAAATATATGATCGGGTACTCAATTTTTTCAAGTCGAAGAAGACAAAACAACGGATAAATTTGAGAACAAATTTGACATATTAAAAGAAACATTTTATTTGCCAGAAATAAGTCCGATATGGTAGAATTAACGAATTTATTTTGATAGTTAGATTTTGAATGGGCGGTAGAATTAAATCGCTATAGCCTGGAATTTATCGGACTTTGGCCAAAAATGAAAGAAACGATGCAAGAAAAATTAATGTCTAACATACGAGTATTACTGTTAATAATTATGGTAACTTTTTTTGGTGTGATTCCCTGCATACACTCTTTGATAAGAGTTTGGGGCGATTTGATGTCAATGACAGACAATTTACAATTCACTTTACCTTTAGTGTCGATGATAATGAAGCTCATCGTCATGTGGAGCAAAAAAGCTGGTAAATAAATTTCCCTTGTAGCATTTTGACACAGAAAAGAGGCTGGAGGATCCCTAAACAATAAAACATTAAAATATATTGTTGTATAATAATAACATTAAGTTTTTAATAATTAAAAATTATAAAAAAAGCGAGCCATATTTTTCTTATTTATATCTGTTTTATAATAATAAATAATTATTAAATTTTGTATATTACTGTAAAGTTCTTACGTTATTATTATATGTTATTTATTTATTATAATTTATGTTATTATAATTAATTGTTATATTTATTTCTTTGTAATCTATTTTTTAAGCTCTTGCGCCACTCTTGTATATGATTGCTAAAGATTGGCTAAAATTGAAATCTGACGAAGAACGGAAGATCATGATAAAATGCGCACGGATCCCTCGCATGATCATAATCTGCGGATTTGTCATAATGTTTGCGTCATTTATTTTGTTATTTATTCTTCCGTGCTTCGGGATTACCATGCGATACATAACAAATGTGACCGATCCGGGCAAACCATTGCCCCTGCAGACATATTACTTCTATGACACAGATACAAGTCCATACTTCGAACTTACATTCGTCGCCCAAGGTGTTACTCTCATGGTGTCTGCCATGAGTTATACGGCGATTGACAGTCTCTTTGGACTGTTGATTTTTCATGTCTGCGGTCAATTGAAGAATCTTAAGGGCCGTTTAATGATAGGTTCTGAAAAACAATTAAATTTTGATTATATTTTAGCAGATGCCATAATGGATCATGTACGCCTTATCAGGTTTCGTACATGATACTGTGAACACTTATTATTTTATATAATAGCGCTAATTATTTCATGTAACAGTAGATCAAATAAAGCTACATGATATAATTAATACACACACATATATATATATATATATACATATATATATAC